TGTTTTGAATTTTGTTTTTTGCTATTAGTTCTGCACACTTCTACTTAAAGTGTGCTCTCTGTGTAACCCAGGTAACCGAGTGTATTATAAATAAAAGGCTGAATAATTTGTAAATGAACTGCATTGTGCGTTCTATTATGCACTGAACAAGTTTACGAAAAAGTGTAATCAACTATTGCATTGCTGCATTCTGTAAGCGACCTAGCTTCGTACAAGGTCGGGTTTATTTTGACGTCTGCTAGGTCCAATCTCCTACATACCTACGGGCACACTAAGTTTGCATTGAGTAATTGCTATAAACTGTATTCTGCCTTCAAATTCTTCTATACAGAAGACATCTACATCCGGAAACCTACAAACGCTCAAGGAATTGGTTGTTGTATGCCAAAAAGTCGCCCCAAACGTGTTACATTGTTAGCTTTTGTGGTTAGTGATGTCCAAAACAAATTGTTATGTGTAACAATTTAGTCCATTTAATTATTCCCCTCAATGATTTTTGAGAAAAAAAATTAAACTGTGCATCACACGGGTGATTTACTCCTGGTTGTTATAATGTTACATGGTTATACCACCCGATCCAAAAATATGTGCGTATTAACATGAGAATGAACACATAAACAACATGAGAATTATATGAAATAATTATCCCTTGTATGAGTAAAACTTCCCCACTTTCCCAATCTATGACCTAACTAGTTTTTTTCCCAAAATAATATTTAAATCAATTATATTTAATTAATTTAGTAATTAATAATTATATAATTAATTTTTATGGACTAATATACCCCTTAGGTTAAGTCTATAAAACCCTAACATTTTACTATTTTTCTCCAACCCTAACCTCGAGCTTCCCACTACTCACGCACACCCGCCTGCCGTTGCTGCCCCGCCTCCGCCCAGCCTCCAACTAGCCGCCACCTACCTCTGTCGCCCCGCCACCGCCCAACCGATGCCTCGCCGTACGTCCGCCTGCTCATCACCTCCGTCTAACTCCACAGTCGCGTGTTCTCTTCCTCCTTCGTACATCCAGCCCGCACTCTCCGCCATTGCCGCCGCCCCGCCGCACAGTTGCCTCGTGCCTCCGTCAACCAGCGTGCTTGGTCTCTTGCCGCTTGAGATTACGGTTTGTTGGGTTCTTCTTCTATTTAATGAAATTAGGGTAATAATTAATGTTGCCAAAGAATGGTGATGGCCGGACCACCGCTCCAACAACTCAGATTCTTCAGCAAGACGGTTGAGGTTGAAGACGAACCCAAGATTGAAAAAGAACCCTAGGTTGAAGACGATTGAGGACAGTGTGCAATGAATATTTTTTATGTAATGCCATGAATATCACAAGAAGTGCAATGATTATGACAAAGAAGTGCAATGATATTACCATATATAAAGTGATTTGACAAAAAGTGCAATAATGTAGAGCATTAACATTGATATAAACTGCAATTATCAAATCTAAAAAATTATAAAATGCTAACATTTTTGTAATGTTTTGTCATAACTCTCGCATGGAATACGTGCATTGGATTTAATTAAACGTAAAAACTAAAATTATCAAAACTAAAAAAGGACAAACTGAAGTACCATAACTTAAGTGCATGAAGTGCATTATATGTTGTGCAGTGAATGCCGTCATAAAGTGCTATAAATGTTGTGCTATAACGCGTTCATAAAATGCAATATATTTAGAAGGCTGAAATTAGTGCAAAATGCATCTTTTTTAAATAAGGGCATTTTCGTCCTTCCACATTATAATATGACGATTTTTTTTTTCGATTTTTAGTCATATTCTGGGAAAAAACATAGCTACTCATATTTTGAGAAACTCAATATGTTTTACTCATATCTTGGGAATTTTTCCGAAGTATATCCCATTTATATGCTTTTTTTCAAGGAAAAATGCTTAGCTATTACATAGTATTAATAATGTTCTAAACACAAAAACCTCACCACAATGCAAAACATCTCTCCTTTTCATGGCAAGTTCTGTGTGTTTGAAAGCCTAGGAGCGGATAATTAAAATAGGCCAAATCTTTTAAAAACAAATGTAATATATTTGTTTGCATGTCTAAATTAACATGCAAAATAATAGTAAAAATACTCCATAATACTTCAAGACATTAATAAGAAAAAGTCTAAAACACTCTTCTATCTAAATCAATAATATTATAGTACCGATGATTCTTATTTAGGAAGAAAATAATGGTGGTCCTTTTTGTGCACTTTACCAATATTTTGGTCTTTTAAGCATTATCAACTACTAAATTTTCATCTCCAATTATGTGATCATCCTGGATCGTTTTATTTTTGTAGCTAAATCATTCTTCTTCTCTGAGTTCCATTTTGAGGAGAACATTCAAAATTTGATTTCTTTATTCAAACTTTTTCATTGATTTTTGTTTACTTAGTGTCATTTTCTCTAGTCTTCTCCTTTTTTTCTTTATGGTATCTAGATTCAATCATTTTTATCACACTTTGAAATTTATTGACTTCATAAGTTTAATTATATTTGAAAATTGTAGGTTAACACAATCAACAAATTATAACACCGTCACTCAATAGATAACATGCAAAATAATAGTAATAATAATATTTCAAAACATTTATAAAAAATTATAAAACTCTCTTCTATCTAAACAAATAATATTATTGTATTGGTGGTCCTTATTTAAAAAGAAAATAATGGCGGTTCTATTTCTGCACTTTACCAAAACAGTGTTTTTTCTTCTTATTTAAGCATTATGAACTCCTAAATTTCTCCCTCCAATGATATAATCATTCTGAACCGTTTCATTTTTTGTAGCTAAATCATTCTTCCTTTCTGATTTCTAATCTTGAGAGTGACATTCACATTTTAACTTCTTAATACAAATAAACTTTTCCATTGATTTTTTTTTACTTAGTGCCGCTTTCTTTAATCTTCTCCTCTCTTTTTCTTTATCCTATCTAGATTCAATCATTTTTATCACACCTTGAAATTTAAAATTAAAGTTTATAAATGTAATTGTAATTGAATTTTTTTGTTTAACAACATCAACAAATCATAGAACCAACACTCAATAGATTGCAATCAACAATCAAGAAATCAAACAAGTGTAGTTTTTTCTTTTAATTTTTTGAATATGCTTTTCATCAAGTGTAGATTATATCCACAAAAATTCAGATTAACATATATTCGGGAAGTCGGTTAAACAAATTGTTGAAAACAATTGTGCCAAAATATGCATAAAAACGCAATGTTTTAAAATAATTTATTTAACTGACTTCTATATTGAATTTAAACTGAAATTTTATGGACATAATTTAAACTTAATAGAGAACATGCTCATAAATTTTCATCAAACAAAACCACCCGAAAGGACCTTGGAACATTCAACCCGAAACAATATTAATTTAGGTTTGAAAAATCAACATACTCACGCCAATTATAAAGAATTAAACTGGGCTTAATTTTTTTCCATTTTTTTGGCCTAGGCTCCCTCAGGGCCATCCCTGCTCCTCCTAGCTCTTGTATAATCAATAGTCTCTCACTCTCTAAACAAATGTGGAAGAATTCACTCTAAAGAGTACAATACTTTTTTGCTGAACATGAGAGAGATTTGAAGTTATAATCAATCCTAGAAACCAAAATAATTCTCCCCACGACAACAAAACAATTATTGTTCTCAAAACCCACACAACACTCTCACGAGTATTATTTATATGAAAAAGTTCCACATAGGAAGAAATAAAACTTGATCAGAAAAAAATAGAGCACAAATCAACGACTTCCAAATAGGCATGGACCGAACCGGTTCCGGGCCCGGGTTGGGCCTAGGCCCAGCCAGGCTTTTTATTGGTTGGGGGAAGCCCGGGACCAGCCCGGGTTCCCACCGGGTCCTGTTCGGGCCGATTTATAATTTTTTTTCTTTCCTAGCTACTCCCTGACCCCCACCCCCCCCACCCCCCCAAACCCCTCCAAAACACCCAGCCCAACCCGGGGAAAACCAAAAAAAAAAATGAAAACCCCCCCAAAAAACATTTTGGCCCGAACCGGGCCTGGCCGGGCCGAGAGACCAATTAACCAACTCCAGCCCGCTTTACCCACCAGTTCGGGTCCAAGCCCGGTACCGGACCGAAGGACCGGGCCGGGTCACGGGACGGGCGGCCCAAACCGGGTCACGGGACGGGCGGCCCGAACCGGGTCACGGGACGGGCGGCCCGAACCGGGTCCAAGCCTACTTCCAAACCTTGTCCCTACGGTCTTTTCAACTTTATTGTTATGAGCATATGCTTACTATATACTTGGAAAAGTATTTAAATGATATTTTAATAAATATTTGAAATTATGTAGGCACCTAGCCAATCCAACCATTGTAAATAGGGGTCGACCGGGCCCGGATCGGGATTGGGTCTGGGTCGGGTCTTGGGCGGATCAACTTTTTTGGGCATTAGGCCTGGTACCGGCCCGGGTAGGTTCCAGGACCGGGCCCGGTACCGGCCCGGGTAGGTTCCGGGACCGAGGCAGGCCCAGGTCGGTCATATTTATATATTTTAAAAAAATTTGTTTTTCTTAATGATTCCTACCCACCCCCACCCCCAAACCACCCAGCCCAACACGCCTCTTACCCAAACCATTCGGGAAAAAAAAAAACTTTTTAGGCCCGGACCAGTCCAGGACCGGCCGGGCTGGTTCCAAGATGGCTGCAGCGGTGCAGCCCGAGCCCCCCCCCCCCCCCCCCCCCGGTTCTGGTCCATGGCCCGGTCCCATTCAGCCAGGCCGGGCGGGTACCGCACAGTGGCGGTCCAGGCTGGGTACCAGGCCGGTCCAATCGGTCCCTGTCTATGCCTAATTGTAATGATGTTGCCCAAAAACATAAGTAGAGGGGACGAGGGGTCATGAATTCATGATACACCCTGAGTTGAGTGAGTTCCCATCCCATCACAAGTTTAAAAAACGAATGAAATGTATGTGTAGAAATGTGTAAAAATCTATTTGAATTTGTTTTTATATTGATTCCGTCCAATTTATACTTGTGTCTATGCCATAGTTACCGCAACAAATTCAATTAATCCTTATTTAAAGTACTATCAGGTTGCTGGCCAAGCCAACACAATTTAGCTATGTCATCTACAGGTAAAGTTGTTGAATACTTGCCCTACACAATCAATGGCATGAAAGCGATGGCATAAATACATCAATAACCATAACTAAACAATCAATGGCCTGATTGCCTGAAACCAATGGCAATATACTCCATGTCTCCATCATTAATAATCTTAATAATTTTTCTTATATGGAATCAACCACCGGGAACAATTTCCTGTTCTTTTTCCCCTGTGACCATCTCCTTCTCCATCCTACTGATGAAGGAAAGCATATCTCCCAAGCCTTTCTCGTCTGAAAACAGGGAAAGAAAAAATATGATTTGTCATGTGTGGAACACAGGCTTAACACTTCATAAGGTGTTTCAGTATTTTCCCCAAATTGACCAAGTATAAAGTTATGAAACAACAATCATGTTTACACCTAGTTTAGTCATCTCCGATTGACTGAAAAAAAATACAAACTCACATATAAGGTCTTGAACTGCTTATCTTATTGATGTTGACTTTGTAAGAAGAAATGTGAAGTACTAATATGAAGCAAAGTTAATTAAGCTCCAACGAGCAATTCAACCCAAGTGAGCCTCATTAGCAAGCACACGATTCAAGATTGGTCCACTCCAATGACTACTACGTCACGGAATATGTTAATCGATCATACACTTCGTATGAAAATGTTCACTACTCTTATTTGATTGACATTACAAGATGGGGCCTTAAGTCGTATAATATGGTTTGGGTGTTTGGGATGTCTAATGAATTCAACAATGTACATATAATAACCTAGTGAGGTAAATATAGAGATGCATGATGAAATGGAGAAGATGAGTAGCACATTTACCAAATCGTGGAATGGTGTGGCCTTTCGGATGATGAATAACCAAAGGATCAATGAAAGATTCAAGGAGTTGAATCCCAGGTTCCCTCAAGAAGTCTTCCTTTCCTATGAAATGGACAGAGGGGCATGTGACTGGTGAACCAAATGCCTTTTCTGCTACTGATTTCTCCCTAAACTTTGCACCTCCAATGATTATCAGATATTTTATCTTCGGAACCTTGGTCAGAGCTACACCCTGCCCAATCACAATAATTTTTATTGTTCCAGAAACAAATATTAAAGAAAAAGTTTTGAATTTATGAGATAGATCTTGGGTTAGATTAACCAATTCATTGAATTCATTTACAATTAACTGAATAACTGGACCAAAATTAACGAGAGAAAATTTTCTCAATAAGAGTCAAGCTTACAAATTTCTTCAAATAGACCAATATTATGTTTTCCTGAAAATCTGTGTCAGCTAAAAACTCTTCAAAAAAGAACTATGAACACATATGTTCCCTTTTAGGATTGAATGAATCCTACTATAGAGTAAAACAAAGACACTCCTATATGTGTATATAACTCATGTTTTACACTTTTACGAGGCCATTTCTTAATTATGAATCGTATCATTTCAAGATGAAATCAGGCCAAATGAACAAAACCACATATTACCTTCTCTTGTAAGCCAGGCAGGGCAGCAGACAAAATGGCGCCCTGGTTTTCATTCAGACCAACAACAAAAACACAAATCAGACATTGGAGGAATTAGATTCTTTATAAACTCAACTAATTTAATGTTTTAAAATTGCAGATAAACCCAACCACAAAAATAGCTAGACCAGACAGAAAAGAGGAGCAAACCTGGGAGAAACCAAGAAGACCATCAAAAGGTCCATTCTTTACCATGTAATCTTCTATGTATGCAAAACACTCATCCAAGTTCTGGTATTGGGTAAATTCCTGACACCCATATAAAAAAGAATCTCAGGAACAAAAAAAAGAATCAGAAGGTTATTATTACAATAATCATATTGAAGAAAAAGAGGGACCTTGTTAAACCGGAACCACTCGTAATAAGGAGGGTCAAAAATACCCTCGACCTCGGATTTGCCGAGGCAGGGAAAAGGGGCATCCAGAAAGACAAGGTCGAGTTTATCGACGACGGCAGGATTCCATTTGGTGACTATTTGATTCATGAGAATGTCGGCGCTAGTTCTGAAGCCATGCAGGCAAAGAAATCTGGGTTTGATCTCCTTCTTCCTCTGGTGAATGCTTCCCAAGTTCGCTTGAACCGCTTCGCTTCCCATCCTCTTCAGCATAGACTGGGAGGAGGAGAAATCAAGGAGCGCGATTTGGTTTTCACTACCAGAGTACCAGTAAGTTAGAAGTGTATTTTTATATTTAAAGGACGGGTGGTTCGGAATAAAGTTTTGTAGACTTATTTCATACGCGGGCGTAGACGAGAATCACGACACTCCAAATTAAGATTCAAACAGATCTGCAGAGGGTTTGTATAATATTTAAATTCGCTAATCAAATTTGTGAATTTCCGGAGGAAAATGTTGAATTAGTTGAATTGTTGAAACATAAAAAGTTGGTTTTGAAATATGCAAAACAATTGATTAATACGTACTAAAAAGATAAAATTAGATGGGTTTTACATCATTTGTAATAAAGTCAAAAACACACTATTTTTTGTTTGGGAATATGATAGAACAAACAAAAGGACTCACTAAATTGTTTGTGTTTCTTTCTTATAAAACAGCAGTCAGTCCATTTAATTTTCGACGCAATTTTCACTATGGATCGTCCAGAAACAGTATCTCTATGCTTTGTTATAGGAGTAAGACTGTGTACATCCGACCCCTCTTACCCCACCATGGGTAGGAGCCTTTGCGTCACTGGGGTAGCAATAATGATGATGATGATGATAAAATTAGATGGAAACTGGTTAAAGTAGTCGAATTATGTAATTTTAATCAATTCAGAAGAGTAACATTACTTATATTTTAGAAATTTTGGAGTTTCTTGTATTTTCTCTCTCATGCCTTTAGAATGTTCTTACTTAGACTTATTTCAATTCCAAACCAAAAGAGACTAGACCAGATTTAAATAGATCAGGCTAGTCTAGACTCTAACAGGTTGGATCACACTAGACCAGAATATAGTTCGATTGTTTAAAATATACATATAACAAACATTTATGAGATCGAGGTAGATCAGATCTAATTAGATTTATACAGGCCAAACCAAATTAGACTACACTAGATCAGAACGGAAAATTTTAATCCAATTAAAGACATATTTAAATCTAACATTTTCCTTTGAAGAAAATAATAATGTTATTGATATTGCTTCTAAGGACAACCATGGTGCTACTTTACCTTCATAATAAGAGCCTGTTTGGTAACACGAAAATCGGCTGATTTGGCTGATTCTGCAGAAATTTATGAAGTTCTGGTTGAAGTGACTACATTGGCTGATTCTGCTGATTTAAGAAAAAAATATTTCTAAAATATATTTTATTAATAAAATAAAGTAAAAATTATATGTAAAATAGCTAAAATGGTCAGCTACAGTAACTTCAGCCAATACGGCCAGAAAAGTAACTCAAACCTTACTTTTTCTGCTTAATACACAATTCAGCGCGCGAAAGTAAAAATTACATGTTTGGTGAAAAAGTTGGCTGATAAGCCTGATAAGCCGAAAAACAGTATTGTCAAACGGCCTGTAAGTGTATCAAAGTCAAAGTCAAAAGAAATACTTCGATTGGAAGGCGTAATGAACTTTACCTTAGTTGCGACGGAGATAGCATATGATTATTTAAAGTCGATTAACCACTCAAGTTAGCTAGGAATGAGCTATATTTGAATTGATTAAGAATTGTAGGTGTTTGAGATCGACATTTAACTTGGCCAACGAGTTGCGACTCACAGCCTAAAGTTCTTTGTCTTTGTGTTAATTTGTTTTGTTCACGAACAAGCCATTAGCGTTTACATGTTCAAGACAAATTAAATCATATTTATTTTGATTATATTTATGTAATTATTTCAATTTCATATCCATAAACTAAGATTACATATCTCAAATTACAAATCTAAAAAAATTAATCGAGTTTCATGTTATTCAAGCTCTCTTTTATTGCTTAAGCCCTAAAATAATACTCGTTTGAATTCATTTGCTTACCTAATCGCAGATTAACAAGAACTAATCAATCCAAACATCATCCTAAATGTTGTATTCATTTACCATCGTAGCTATTATCCGATTACTTCTAGTCGTTTCTAGACATTGTACAAGAAATAATTACACAAATGTGACTAGAGTAGTAATGAAATCAGTAATTTATGTTCAATTTTTCAACTTAAGTTAGTGTGACACTATGAGGCCGTTTGGCAACACTGTTTTCGGCTTATTAGACTTATCAGTCAACTTTTTCACCAAACACGTAACTTTTGCTTTCGCGCGCTGAATTGTGTAATAAGCAGAAAAATTAAGGTTGGAGTTACTTTTCTGGCTGTATTGGCTGAAGTTATTGTAGATAATCATTTTATCTATTTTTACATACTACGTATAATATTTTTTATTTTATTAAAAAATATTTTTTAAAGATATTTTTTTCTTAAATCTTTAAAATCAGCCAATGTAGCCACTTCAACCAAAACTTCATAAATTGCAGCAGAATCAGCCAAAGCAGCCGATTTTCGTGCTACCAAACGAGTTCTACATTATAATACGGAGTAACTATTAGTCATATTTGAGTAAATAAATTTTATTTTAGTAATATTTTTGTAAAAAACTCATTGTAGTCATCCCGATTTGAACTGCTTTTTAAATTAATTTCAAATTCAGTATGGTATGAATTTTTTTCAGATAGATTACTTTAACTTTATCCTATAGCGTGTATATCAAACTATTACAAGACATCACTATTAATATAATTCGACATAATACTTAATAATAGATTAACTACTTAATTTTTAATTTTTTAATATTAAAATTAAACTCTTGTATTTCAGTATGAACTACTTCGATATAATTAAAAATGCCACACAATAAATTCAAATATAATACGGAGTATCAATTTTGCAATATATTTGTATTAAAATATTTTCTAAAGATGATAATTTAACTGATTTATTGTACGCCATATAGATGTAATATTCCTGTTTTACATGAAATTAGTGTGACAACTTGAAGTTGAAAGTTTTGTCTCATTTTTTTTTGGTCAATAAAGTGTCATTAAATCTAATTGGTTAGTGACATACTCCTCCGTTCCTCTAATTTTGTGCCGTTTTACCTTTTTCGACCGTCCCATTAAGATTGTCTCATACCATATTTGGTAATATTTGGATAGTTACAATTCATTATTACTTTATTCATACATTATCAATTCAATATCAACCACGCAATTCTATTTTTTCTTAAAAGTTGTGCCACACTCATTTGTCCCAACCACTTTTTTTATCGGATATTGGGATTCCATCGACATTAGCGGTGGTGTGGTTTGGTAAGTTGTAAGTGATGGCCGAAAACGGAACACCCCATCTGAGAAGTGACCAATGGAATTCTGACCTGAAATGCGGGTCACGCACTATATGCCGTACTATACGTCTATACTTCAAAGTTCAAACATGTTTTCTTGACAAGGAAAATGATAAAAATAAAATATTGCTTCCTCCTTAATATTTATATCTTTCTTTTTTCTTTTTTTGTCCATAACATTTAGGGCATGTTTACTAATAGAGATATTTTCCAGTTTTTCAGAAAACTGGAAAACTGGAAAACAGAAAACAGGAAACGTGTTTACCAAAGAAATTTCTGGAAAACTCGAGAAAGGAAAAAAGAAAAACGCGTTTACCAAATCGTTTTCCAAAACAGAAAAACTGAGACATGTTTCTCTTTTCCTTAATGATTTAGAAAAGTGACTTTTACTAGTTTTCTAAATTTGGAAAACGCAGATGCTACAGTGCCGCTGCAATGAATTTGCATACTTACACCTAGTGGTGGGTCCGGTCCCGCTTCGATGTCGATTCCATTCTGGTACCTCCATCCTCGTACCTTACCCCTATCCTACCCTACCCTACCCTACCCTACCCACCCAACCTTACCCCGCGTACCATTTTTCCCTATAATGACCCTACCCCACCCCCTACCACATGCCCCCTACCTAAGCCCCACCCCGATCCACCCTACCGCTAACCCCCTACCACCCCGACCCCACCCCGACCCACCCTACTTTACCCCCACCCGTATATTACCCCTTACGACATGCCCCCTACCTTGGCCCCACCCCACCGCCATCCTACCCCCACCCTCGTACCACCATCCTACCCCCCACCCTACCCTTCCCCTACCTCGGCCCAACCCGGATCCCAGGCCCACCCTACGGCCATCCTATCCCAAATACCTACCCTACCCCTACCTAACCCTAACCCACTACCCCCACCCTTAACCGCCATCCTACCCCCACCCTACCCCCTTCCCTACCTCGGCCCCACCCTGGTCTCGGCCCCACCCTACCGCCATCATATCCCAACTCCTTACCCTACCCCTACCTTACCCCAACCCCAACCCTACCCACTACCCCACCCTTAACCACCATCCTACCCCTTCCCTACATCGGCCCCACCCTACCGCCATCCTATCCCAACTCCCCACCCTACCCACTACCCCCACCCTTACCCCTAACCACAACCCTAACACACCCAACCCCTACCCCTAGACCTTACCACCCCGCCCCCACCCATAACTTCCCTACCCGACCCCTACGAGTAGGTATGGGTGGGTATGAAGGGTTGTTGGGGAGTCGGGATCAGGGTGGGGTTGAGGTAGAGGTAGGTGGATAGGTAGGATGTGGGGTCGGGATCAGGGTGGGGTGGGGGCGGGGTGAGGTAGGTGGGGTCGGTACGAGGTAGGGGTAGGGGGTAGGGTGGGGTTGGGGTCAGGGTAAGTATGGTAGGGTATGATGACGGTGGAGTGGGGTCGGGATCAAGTGGGGCCGAGGTAGGGGCTTGTGGTAGGGGTGGGGTAGGTATGGTGGGGGTGAGGTAGGGTAGGGGTAGGGGTAGGTAGGATGTGGGGTCGGGATCAGGGTGGGGCCGAGGTAGGGGTAGGGTGGGGTATGGGTCGAGTAAGAACATGGTAAGTGTAGGGGTAAGGGTCAAGGACTCAAGGGTGTGGAATTGGAGAACTGGATGAAAAAATTGATGAACATGTTTTTCAGATTTGAGAATGGAAAACCAAAAAATAGAAACAGAAAATTGGAGATAGAAAAACTGAAAAATAAAAACAGAAAATTGGAGAACGAAAAACAGAAGTAGAAAACAGAAAAATATCTCTGTTAGTAAACAGGCCCTTATATTTTCTTATCATATCTTTAATAATTTATAAAATAATACATTATTACAACTATTCTCATGGATTTATTCTTCATTCCATCACACTATTTCATCATCATCTCATCATATCCTCAATAATTTATATTCAATTTCACTATTTTTAATCGCACCTACTTTTCTATTGGAAGATATCAACGTTACGGAGGTACTAGTATACTTTGAATAGGCTATTTTATTTCCTATTGGAAGCTCTACAAAATACAAAAATAGGCTATTTTATTTCCAAAACTTTGAATACTTTTTTTTTACTCCAGGGTGCGTCTGGGGGAGGGGACTGAGGGAGCCTGGAGTAATCTAGACTGAAACTCACTTCATTGAGTTTCGAACCCGAGACCTCCCATAAGGGAGAGTGACTGAGTGAGTCGGCGACCAGCTGGGCTGGACCGCTTCCTCACCTTTGAATACTCTTTATTTAATTAATTTAGTTTTTCTCTGTTACAACCAGATATGCTATAAGCAGTAATTAATCTACAAACAATATAAACAACTGATCTGCCATTTAACTATTTAACTATTTAAGCCACTGATGTGTTAAAAATGACATGTAAGAATTTTTTGTGAGAGCGTATCTACCGGACTAGGGGTTGGTTTGCAACCGCTTTTAAAAAAGCACTTCTCAGTTTTTGGCTTTAAAAAAACACTTATTTTCCCAAACACTACAACTTTTATTTTTCTCGACTTACGCGTCAAAAGTGCTTTTACTTTTTCTATTACACAAAAAACACTTATTTTACTAAACACTACCCACTTTTACTTTTCAAAATCACTTTTTTCTCAAACACTCTCAACTTTTATTTAATCACTTCTCCCCATTTCATTAAAAAAAATCACTTTTTTAAAAGTAGAAGCTGTTGCAAACAGACCCTACCTCTAGTATAACTACTCAGGTTGTCCGCAATGGTAAGAGTGAACCGTCAATTTTAACATTTTCATCCCATAAAATGTTCCAACCCATTGCACACAAGGGTGCCAAAGCGGTTTGGGGCACCCTTGGAGAGGAGATATGCTTGACTATTGACGGAAAAGGGAAAAGAGGGTGCTTAAGGGAATGTTGGCCGTAAGTCACAAAAAACTGTGGGGGCCATGTAAAGTATTAATCCCAAACTATCTTAGAATGTTATATCTGTTGTAGGGAGAATTGTGTGTTGTTTCATTACAAACGCCCCTATTAATAGGGATGGAATATGATTTACAAGTACGGGCCAACAGGCCCAGAATACATAGTTTACATCGAACGATTCTAATACATATTCTATATAAACGATAGCACACTACATATATAGAATTTCCTTCAACACTCCCATTTGTGCTGAGTTGTAGATAGAAGTTGGTATCTATCTTGGTGTCTCGTCAAAACCTCTGTCAACTAACAAAAACCATGTGGAAAAAAATAACATTGACGGGAGAAAAAATAGTATAGCATCACGATAGACTTCTTCCATTTAGTCTATCTTTATTTGATCCTTGCTTTGATCAATAAAGCGTATTTGTATTGTTACCTCATTAAAAACCTTACCAAGTAACAAAACCCAATGAGAAAAATAAAACTTGATTAAAGGAAAAGAGTGTAACGATACTAACGTGATGTAGGTGGGATACTCCCCCTCAAGTCTACATCCATCATTAATATTTACATTAATCAAGGATGTTTGGAAGTCCATGCATTCCAACGCATGTCACATTAATTACCTTAGCGAAGGCACACAAATAGAGGAATATAATTCCTTTAATACTCCCCCTGTGTGTCGAGCATAAGGTGATAAGCTTAAAAATTATTAACTTGCTAAAATCATGCCAATGAACAAAACCTAACGGGAAAATAAATATTGGTCAAATGAAAAGGAAGTATGATGCATTAATAACTACACGTCAATTACTTTTAACTGTGATATAGTAATTATGTTCTTTCGTGAACAATGTTTTACATTTTCAAAATTAAAATGTGGAGAAAAGTGTCAAATAAGTCCATCTACTTTTATCAAAAAGTCAATTAAGTCCATATACTTTTAACCGAATCAATTAAGTCCATGAACTGTCAAAAAACAACCAAATTCTATTTTTTATAGGTAACGAACAGGTTTCAAGTTACATAGCTTACGTGTATCGTCCAAGTGGGAGTTTTTTACTGTTCACAATTTTTTGTGCATTTTCTTTTCTTTTCTTCTCTGTTTCTCTCTTTGTTCTTTCTCCGTTCTTCTTTCACGTTCCAGGTCCATCGTCCTCGCCCAACCTGCATCGGTCCCCTTCTCCCCTCAATTCCATTTTCCACTTTCGTCTTTCTCTTGGATATAGCTTTTTCGATCTGATCTTACCCCAAGCCGGAAATGGCTCGAGTGCCTACCTTCTTCTTCGCTCGGCGACGTTGAAGCAGTGTCCAAGCCGCTGCAACATTTGCCCTAATTCGTCGTCTTCCTCCCGTGCCCGACTTCGGCTTTGCCTGGAGACATTCAATCTAGGTCAATTAATCCGTGCTTGACATCAAAACCTCCAATTTCAAATTTCCAGGAAGAACAAACAAGAAGGGGGTATATTCGGTGAAAGAGAAAAGAAGGAAGAATGAGGGGGTGAGAAGTCTGGAACTCGAAACAGGTGGACGGAAGAAGAAAGAGAGAGAAGAAAGGAAATGGTGGCAGGTTGGAGCGTTGGACGGTGGAAGCCTGGAACCAGTGGAACGGGTAAGGAAGAGGAGCAAGAAGAAAGAAGAGAAGAAAATAAGAAAGAGAGAGAAAAGAAAAGGAAAAAAAATAGAAAAAGCCACTGTGCATTCCACGTAGGCCGTCAACCGGGATACCGGTTGATCACCTACAAAAAAGCCAATTTGGTTGTTTTTTTATAGTTCATGTACTTGATTGATTCGTTAAAAAGTATATGGACTCAATTGACTTTTTGATAAAAGTAGATGGACTAATTTGACACTTTTCTCTTAAAATGTGGGATGGTGCATAATATGTTGTCTCATTAAAACCTTACCAAGTAACAAAACCGAATGGGAAAAATAAACCTTGGTCCAAAGGGAAAAGAGGTACACCGTCCAACATTTAGTTGATATATACTTTTATCAAGGTATTCCGTACATAACATCATGATTTATTTCATGATAAATATATACTCATTTAAGAAAATATCAGTGAGGTAACGGGATATCCAACATCGGTAAAACTCAAATCACATTATTTTGTGTTAGAATGACACTTTTGACATTTCCAATTTCTTTATGAAATTATCATCAATCATTTAATTCAATTTAGATATACATTTTTTATATCACAACTGCTTCATATATATCTCTTAAATAAAATTTACTGAAACATTTAATAGCCACAATCTTTAGCCTACGTCTCCATTTTGGAGACTACTTAGAGATTAAGTGGTTGAACATTTTTGTGTTCAAACTTCAAAATAGAGAAGTATAACTTTTCCTATTTGAATCCAGGGCGTTGTGAGAATAATTAAGACCTCATTATCTCAATACGATTTCTAACAAAGAATCATTTTATGTCCTACATGCTTTATACTTGATTGATTAGCACTATCATACCAAATACATGTCTCTTTGTCAAATATTAAATTTATATCAGGATTGCTTGTACACATTTAGGCCAATATTCTCATTGCTTTCATATTGCAATAGAGTATGGTTCGATATCATCGTGCTAGATACTCCTTTGAGCAACCGTATAAATATATCGTCAGTATAAGTGTAAGGTCTATCATTCGACTCAGACACACTCTCATTAACATTGAGATTTTAATTCTCTAGAATCATTTAAACTTCGGGGCGTCCCCCATTATTGATTCATGGACATATTTAGTCAGAGATGATCTCGTGAGAGGAATTCATATGATGACGAGTATATTGGTTTGTGCCTTATCTACCCTCTAATACTTGGGGTGGATAACTAATCGAACTGTGTGGCTTCCCTCTATTCCTTTAGAGAGCCACGACATCAACCGCAACCCCACTGCTTGTGATTGCAATGTCTTTTAATTGAAATTCAAGTCTTACAAATATGTTTGCAGCTAGTGTGTATAATCTGATTACTTAAATCATTTACTTTCAACTGATTTAAATCTGATTAATTAATCTGATTACAAATACTGATTTTAAGTGTTCTAACGTTTAGGATTGCAACTACATCGCATGAGACAACGTTGATAGATGAACGAGGTGCGACTGAGAGGTTATATCGAGGCTGGATCGTGAAGCCTTGGTCGGCCATTCCGACATTGGTGGAGTTGATATTCATCCATATTGTAAGAACTCGTCCTCTTCCGGAATCACCTCCATACCAAGAAGAGCTATGTGGAAAGATTTTATTTCAGTATTATTTTTTTTAGTTGCAATTGTTTCTGTTTTAGTCCGAGTAGATTTACTTTGAATGTTGAGATTTTTGGAGTTCTTTTGAGAGACAGAGTTTCAGTTCCGGTCATTTTAGGCCTAAATTTGCCCATTTCAGGTTTAGCGAGTCATGTTGTTTTGTATGAGGTGACTGACTCTAAGTCTACTCCTAGGGTTTACGATTGGATCTGTAAATTCTGTCTGAAAGTTGTCTTGTATGTGTTCTCAATTTTAATATAATGGCCGCTCTTTTATGATTATATATATATATATAGTCTCATTCCTATCCAACCGGCCTGACGGAAAATGTCGTACGGTCGAGGACATTTCGGGCACTTCATGATCTAATTTTATAATCAATTTTTTTGAGAATGTTCTTCATCAAATCTAGTTTATCCATACCAAATGTGAGCTAAAAATTCAATGGGGAAGACAGTCAAATAATTTTTGTAAGATAACTACGCTGTTTGTATATATACAAAGCGCAGTTATCTTACAAAAATTATTTGACTGCCTTCCCGATTGTATATTTAGCTAAAATTTGGTATGGATAAACTAGACCTGATGAAGATCATGCCCAATAAATTAATAAAAAATTCGATTGGGAAGTGCCCGAAATGCTCTCGCCCGGACGGCGGTTCCCGCAAGGCCGACTGGACATGAAGTTTCCTCTCTCTCTCTCTCTCTCTCTATATATATATATATATATATATATATATATATATATATATATATATATCAAATTTCAACTAATTTTTATGAACTTTCAACTGTTGGAGATTTATAGACCCAAAATTTTCTTACTCAAGTGCTAAATTTAAGATCTTATGGTTAATTTTTTTACGTCTTTCAATATTTTGTTCATATAGGTATGAACTAACACAAAAAAATATAAACTCCACATTTATAAATTTTTATATCAAAATGTTTGAATTTTTCAATAAAAGCAAAATTTTTATTATATAATTTTTGCTGGGTGAATATATTGATGATGCTGAATTGCAGTAAAAATTGAATTAATTGAGTGAATACATACAAATTGGTGAGAAATTTGAATTGACGATATTAAGTTGCGGTTAGCCTTGTAACTCTAAAACCTTACATAACCCATATATGCCCCATACCACTCCATTGTTACACCCCTTGCTCCCCTGCCACTTTCGGAAACCCTTACCAAATTTGAAAAATTCTCCTAACTTTTGTGTAAAAAAATAGGATAATTATTCTAAATAGATGCAAACATGTATTTGAAATTCAAAACAGGGCTGCTATGCCTTTGTTGTTACTACCATGTTTTTTGAAAGACTAAATTTTGACTCGTGCAATGCACGGGACATATATTATACAGGATAGTGGGATTAAGTAATAGAAAAATAATATATTTAGTTAATCTGTAAATGAATACAGAGTATGGGTGTAATACACGAAAATAATTACTCCCTCCGTCCCGTTAGAAGGTTCTCACTTTCCTTTTTTGGGCGTCCCATTAGAAGGTTCTCATTTCCATTTTAGGAAACAATTAAAAATCTTAAGTGACAAATTAATCATTAAATATTAAAAATAATACATTTATAACATCACAATTATCAATACTAACTACATTATAATATATACCTATTAAAATTATTTCTGTTCTTTATTTAATTATCACCTAAATAACTGTGTCATTTTACTATGAGAACCTTCCAACGGGACGTGGGTAGTATAAGTAAGGAAAAGATACATATGACTAATAATTGATACGGATTATTTTGTGTACCCAATACATTTCGAAACACCTTTTGTAAAGGACATTGATAGGGCAATCGATTTGTTTGCCATCTTCATCACACATCAATATTTTCACTCTTACGATTTATTACTGTAACATAAAGTAAATCATTAAATTGAAACCATTATCTTAAAGTTCGAATAAAATCCAGCCCAATTATTTTAACAGTATTAAAATATGTATTTATATTTTAACATAACATTAAAATAAACTTTTTTAAAATTATTAAAATATAAATAGCTTATAAATATTATGACCCCGTTTAGTAATACCAAAATTGGTTGAATTTGTTGATTACGCTGAAATTTTGGCTGAATTGGCTGGTTGGATTAGCTGATTTTGTTGATATATGGAAAAAACATTCAAAATATTTTTTATTAATAGAATAAAGAACAAAAATATGAATATATATATATATATATATATAATGATACTCTACGGTAATTTCAGCCAATACATTTAGAAAAGTAACTTTAATCTTACTTTTTTTTTTATTTTTAGATAATTCAACGCGCAAAATCAAAAGTTACACTGATTGAAATTTCGTTAATTTTAAAGATTATTGTCAATCTGCCAATGGTACTACTACACCTCATAGACAAACTTAACAGCAATTTGATTACTTAAAGATTACTAACAGTCAAATTGATGAAACTAATGGAACTACTTTCTCAATTATTTTAGTTATTAAGTGATCGTTTTGACATTTAAAGTGATCAAATTATCAAACAAAGTGATCATATTTGTTCATCAAGATGCTCTTAGGTGAAATTGAAGTTAAATCTATATTAATTTAGTTATTTTCCAAATAATTTTATCATTATTTTATCAATAAAATAAAGTTAAATATTATTTATTCATAAATCAATAAAATCAACCAATACAACTACTACAGAATTTCATAATTTAAAGTTAAATTTCATATAATTTACAAAACACTAAAAGAGGCTCTAAGTACTATGCATTACGTAGTGCTACGTAACAAATACGGAATACGATTATTACTACATACTCCATAATTATTGTGGTACTTCCAAGATATAGTGAAAATATGAGGAATATCTCAAACAAATTACATTTCTTACTGAGCACTTTATTTTTCTCTAGATATGAACCAAAAGATAAAGGGATTCCATAACCTAGATTAATCAACAATATCAGTAGAATAAAGGAAAGAGATTTCAGATTACACTATACAACACAATTAGATCAAATGTTTACGTACACATCTAGTGTGTGACTAAACCAAAGGAGAAGATGGAGAAAACACATACTAACTTCGATTTGATATTTTATTTGATTTTCACAATGACATAAAACTATAATCTGGCCCATGTCAAGATTCTTCATTGGCTGAAATGGCCTCTTCTTCAATGTAACCCTTTAATGGCTAGCCGCCGAGCTGCCTAATGCTCTTCCAGTCTGCCTCCACGCCAAATCGCCACCTCAAATCCAGAAGCGGTTCCTGCCAGGCATCGTGAGGTCCAATGGCTTGGATTACCTTAGCTTCCGATTGAAGATGAAATAGGTGATATCCTTTTCAGCGGATGCGCTGCTAGTCATCTAGACGCGTGATGCTCTGCCTCGTCCACACCAAATTGCCATCGTGAGTTCCTGACAGGTTGGACTGCCTTGGCAATTGCAGATGAAATAAGCTAGTTTTCCTTCCTGTTGGCGATTGCAGAATTACCGCCAGCCATCGTGAGTCCCTTCCGCTTGGCGATTGCAGTTCGTAGTTGACTATATAGTCCGTATGCTTATGGTTTTTTTTGGTTTTATCAACAATGGAAACCCAAAATATCAATACACAATAGATGTTAGTCTGACTC